ACTGATAAGCACTCACTCATCTCCCCTTCCCTTTCCAACGCCTTCGATGCTTGTTACCTCCCGGAAACACGAGGCGGGTCTGGGCCCGCGCTGGCGAGTCCGCGCAGTGGCAGGATGTCTGCTGTGTTGCCTGGGATTACTCCTCATCCCCCCACCCAACCTTGTGGCTTGTTATGTCTTCACAAAGTTGTGTTGTGGACATTTGTGTGCTTTTTTTGTGCAGAGGAGTTTTTTTGTTTCCTGTTCTCGTGCTGTCCTACCACGGAAGCACAGCATGAGTAGAGGTCTCTTTTTTTCCTCTTGTACCTTCCCATTGTGTGTACATTTCAGTGTTTTTTTCCGTAACTCTGCCGATCTCCGACTTGTAACCCCCATGTAATGTCTGTGTTATGTGTGTAAGGTTGGGGGGGGGTGTCTCATTTTACTGCGGGGCAACCTGCATGTGACAAATAAACTCTGATTCTGATTCTGAAACAAGAAAAGAAAAAGAATTTAGACTGGATTACCTCGCTGAATCTTTTTAAACAGGGACTCGCTCTCTGATTGTCCCATAAGTGGCTTTCTCCCGAGCCCATTTTAATTTTGGTGAAGCTCACTTGCGATTGTTCAACATGTTGTGTAGCGCTTTCGATTCTGATCTTGCAGCCTGCTTGAAAAGGAGAAAATTGCCAAACAAAAATCTCAGTGCACTGTTAAAAATAATGAAAAATATGAAGGCCTCTTTTAGGACTTGTCTAAGCGTACTCTCTTACAATGATAGATCAAAACAAACTAATTGGCAGGTTCAAAGTGGTACCAAAGGAAAATGCATCAATAAATCTCCCAAACTTTCATCCACCAGTCACACACCTCACACAACAGCAATATTCTATTAGATAATGAGTTTTGTTTTCCCCATGTACCCAGATGTGTGTCATGATAAAACCTCCCTCACACATCAGAAACAAGAAACTCAATAATCTATTAGTCTCCACTCATCTGACCCTCCTGCATCATTCTGTTCACCCCTGCAATGATTCAATCCTTCCCCAAACATAATACTAGTTCACTCTATGCATCACTTCTCAACCTGCTAAGTGAACCGGACAAGATGATGGTAACAGAAATGCATGCTTAATCAGTGTTGGGAAGGTTACTTTTAAAATGTATTCCATTACAGATTACAGATTACATGCCCCAAAATGTATTCTGTAACGTATTCCGTTACGTT